TAATATCACCTAAAATTTCCATATTAGCACCTAAAATGCACATATTACCACCTAAATATCCATATTAGCACCTAAAATGTACATATGAGCACCTAAATGTCCATATTAGCACCTAAAATGTATATGAGCACCTAAATGTCCATATTAGCACCTAAAATGTATTTGAGCACCTAAATGTCCATATTAGCACCTAAAATGTACATATGAGCACCTAAAATGTCCATATTAGCACCTAAAATGTATTCATTTTTGAGTATTGATTTTTCATAGCAAATTAAGTACTATCTATGAACATTTTTAAATAAATACTCCTTTTAGCACTAATAGTAAGCCTTTAAACAAGTACTCCCTACTGGACTTACACGTTGCAATCTAGCCCTAGATCTGCTCCGCACTAATGCTAGTGCTCATTCATGCTAGTCCTGACTTCAAACTAGTACTACTCATACTAGCACTAGAAATGACCTGAATTATTATGTCTACAAAATTCGTTTTGAACTGTCGCATTTGCAATACTGACTTTGAACTAGTACTCAAACTAGCACTAGAACTGACTGTGAATTAGTACACACTAGCCCTAATACTGAATTATATTCAGCACTCTTTGTCTTTGTAATAGTACTGACGTTTCTACTATCTTTATTATTTCATAAACAAATCTGTCACGAAAACAAGTTTTTATTACACACTCTAAACAATGCTGGGTTGTTTCAACCCATTTGGGTCAAATATGGACAAAAACCCAAATGCTGGGTTAAAAATTGAATTTAAAATTTTAACCCAACTTCTACTTTCACATTCAACTTTTTAATTTTTTTAATTAAATTTTGATTTTTTTTTTTACATTTTTAATATGGACAAAAAACCCAAATGTTGGGTTAAAAATTGAATTTAAAAATAACCCAACTTCAACTTTCACTTTTTACTTTTTTAACCCAAACATTTGGGTTTTTGTCCATATTTTCCCCAAATTTGGATTGAAACAACATTGGGTTAAAATTTTAAATTAAATTTTTAACCCAACATTTGGGTTTTTGTCCATATTTGACCCAAATTTGGGTTGAAACAACCCAGCATTTTTTTTAGAGTGCAGCCACCATTTAAATGTTTAAATTTCAACAACACAATTAAATCAATAAAAGGTTGATATAAAGCCACCTTATATGCAGTTGCAAATATGCAAATGTTTATATACAACTCATTTTTTTATTTGAGAACTGATTATTAAATAAATTTAATTTTTGGTTACTAATTAAACTTATTTTTGGTTAATGAAAATATAAATTTTCCAGTTGATAAAAAAAAATAAAATCAATTCGGTGCATCACTTCTACTCATACCTGCTATAACCTTGCCCGATAGCTCTAATACTAACTAAACTAGTACCCGTAATAGAATAGAAACAAAATTGAATTTGAACTCACACATTCTATTACCAATCCTGACTTAGATTTAGCAGTCAGTCTAGCATTACAACTGATTTGAATTAGTTCTCACACTAGCACTAAAAGTGCCTTTGAAATTTGAATTGGTACACATACTAGTATAAGTAATGACTACTGACTGGAAATAGTACTCAAACTAGTACTGACTTTTAACAAATACTCATTTATTTGCTGGCCTAGAACAGATTTCTCTGATATTCAAAACCAGTTTTCCTCAGAAAAATCCATTTCCTTTTTCATATCATCCCAAAATGGAAACTCCTTGTATAAACAAAACCGAAAAGGTGCTGATCCATCGCTGCCTTAAAAGCCTTGATCTAAAAACAAGCCTTTAATGTAAAATAAGAATATAGCCTTAATTATCATTAATGCATGTGAGATGCAAATATACACGTCTCATTGGGTACAGTGAAGTGCTCTAACTAGGCCACACGGGGAGCATACACGGGCAGATTACAGCGCACACGGAGTTTAGCAGATATTTTCGTACCCTATTTGTTTCATGTGAAGCCTGATGAGGCTCCTGAGCTGAGCTCTCCGCTGTAGAGGCAACCAGTGAACACACGGCCTCCTGGGGAGCCGTGTGCCACCGCTCCAAACTCACTCATCATTAACTGCTTGCAAATAGATAGAACAAGAATACTTTCTCTTTCAGGGTCACTGTATGTGGGGCAGCGGGATTATGCAAAATCTCCCCAGAAAAGCAGTGGAACAAGAATCAATATAAACACGCAGCAGCCCACAAAACCAGATCATTTCCTGTTCCTCCCAGCATGTTAAAAAAGATACCACCCACTGACCAGTGTGTTTGTGCGGAGTCCAGTTTAAAAAAAGGATGAATCACACCCACACACACACCGATTCCCATGGTACCTCTGTTCTGCATCATGACTCAATTTGTCTCTCTGTGTGCATGCAACACCTGAGCCGGCTCCAGCACGCCTACGCTGATTCAGATGTCTCCAGGGACCCGACTCACGCACACCCTCGACCCTTGACCATCTGCCCCCCGGACTCATCTGCCAGACACAGCCTCACCTGCACACTGACATCTAACCGGAGAGAGAGCGCACACTCTCTCAGCACTGTGGCTACGGGAAATATATTTCCATTCATTCTCTCTATTTTAGAAAATCATTTAATAAAGAGTGCAGAACTATATGTGGGTTGCCTGAGTGTCGACTAGTTTGTTGACTAATCTTAACCAGAAGCATTTTTAAAAAATGGTCATTTTAACTTAAAGCACAGAAAACAACAAATCAGTCCCTAATCAAAGGAGTAGTTCACTTTAAAAAAAAAAAAAAAAAAACTTTTGCTGATAATTTACTCACCCCCATGTCATCCAAGATGTCCATGTCATTCTTTCTTCAGTGGGAAAGAAATTAAGGTTTTTGTTGAAAACATTCTAGGATTTTTCTCCATATAATGGACTTCAATGGGAACCAAACGGTTCAAGGTCCAAAAGACAGTTTCAGTGCAAACTACAAACTGTTCAAAGGGCTTTAAATGATTCCAGACGATGAATAAGGGTGTTATCATGCGAAACGATCGCTCATTTTAAAAAAAATATAACAAAAATAAAGTTTTATAAGCTCAAATGGTTGCCTTGCTCTGTTAGGGTTAGGGTGTGATGCGCGTTCGTGACTCTCCTATTCGAACTCGTTCATCAAAATGAACGAATCTTTTCCTGAGTCAACTCGTTCATTTCGTTCGTTGAATAAACCAAATGACACGAAAAAGATTCGTTCGTTTTGATAAACGAGTTCGAACAGGAGAGTCACGAAAATGCATCACAGAACAGATCAAGGCAACCATTTGAGCTTATAAAACTTAAACTTTGTTGTTATTTTTTTTTAAATGAGCGATCGTTTCACTAGATAAGACCCTTATTCGTCGTCTGGAATCGTTTAAAGCCCTTTGAACAGTTTGCACTGAAACGGTCTTTTGGACCTTCGAACCGTTTGGTTCCCATTGAAGTCCATTATATGGAGAAAAATCCTGGAATGTTTTCATCAAAAATCTTTATTTCTTTTCGACTGAAGAAAGAAAGACATGGACATCTTGGATGACATGGGGGTGAGTAAATTATCAGCAAAAGTTTTTTTAAAGTGAACTACTCATTTAAATCACCACCATTAAAAATATCTGTCTGTCTGTTGATGGATGGATGGATGAGACACAAAGAGAGAGAGAGAGAAAGAGAGAGAGAGAGAGAGAGAGAGAGAGAGAGACTAGCATTTAAAAGTTTGGGTTTAGCAAGTTAATAGAAGAAAATACTATTTTTATTCAACAAGGATGCATTATATCCATCAAAATTGACAGTAAAGACATTTATGTTAAAAAAGATTTTTATTTCAAATAAATGCTGTTTTTTTTAACTTTATATTAATCAAAGAACCCTGAAAATATATCTAAATCGTCTATTTCCACAAAAATATTAAGCGGCACAACTGTTTTCAATAAGCATTTGCATGATAAGCATAATCAGCATGCGTTCTGAAAGATCATGTTAAATTGTATTTAAATAGAAAATAATTATTTTAAATTGTATTAATATTTCATAATAAAATCTGACCCCATACTTTTGAACGGTATATATATATATATATATATATTAGTGTGAGGGTGTCCAATTCCATGTAAATTAAGCTGAAATCACATTGACTTTTGGTTTCATACATTTTCACTTAAAAATCAATTTCCATTTTAAATTTCATAGTCCTTGAGCTCTATAATGCACGAGATATGATGAGCAGATGAGAAGTAGAAGGTAGATTGACTAGATGCAAATGGATGGACCTTTATTGTAATTTCCACATTCTTTAAAACTTTAATTGTCTCTGTACATCTGTCATAGGGTTGTCTGTAATTGTACAGTGTGTGTGTGTGTACGCAACAGGTCCTTCTTTAATGGATCCACTACTAATGGAGCATGAAGGCAGCAGAGAAAGCCAATAAAAATCAATTTCCCACAGCTGTAATTATGGTACTCTCTTGGTTAATTACTCTGGTCTTGCCGTTACAAAGTGCTACTAATGTGTCGTTGAAGAGCTCAAGCTGTAGCATTACCAAAAACACCACAGCACAGAAGAAACTAGCTACTACAAACCCCAGCTGTCAGGAGAGTTGGGTTTATTTGCTACAAAAACAACGACTACCATCATTTTCAGGTTTACAACCTAAGAAAAGCTGAAAGCTTCCAACCCCATGAGATCCTCCGCCATATCCGCCGCTCGGCAGAACAGACAAGCTCAAATATTCCTCTTAAACCACAGTGACAATCACAATCCAAAGATTACATTTTTTTCTTTCCCTTTTCACCGATCCTCAGCCGTCCTCGACTTTGACACAGCACACACTGCAGAAAGGAACATTTCTTTACATGTAGCAAGTCTGACTATTGTGTTATATTGTGTGATACAAGATTTTGACACGAGACAAAAAAAAAAAAAAAACAATGCAATGCAAATGAAACAGTGAAGTTGAACGACATGACGTGGCTTGTTGCATGCTGTGAGCGGATATATGTGTGTGCGTGTGTGGGCCGCATCTCACCGTCCACGCATGCTGGTCGGGCCCGTGTGGTGCCAGCGATCTGTCCTCTCCGGCAGGCACAGCGGGCTGTCTGCCTGGCGATAGTGCGCTTGGGTTGACTGCTGTCTCTATTCAACATCACTATCTCACACGTGCCTACTGCCAACTGACCTGTGGAGGACACACAAACACACACATGCATTTCAGAAAGCATGGCTTTGGAAATAAGGATATCAATTGTCAAGTCCTGTTATAAACTCTTAAAACTTCAACATAAAGGTTTGATATCCCTTAACATTACGTTATCACTGAGTGCAGTGTACCAGTCTGAGAGTCAGTGCCAAAGCAATCATGGAGGGAAATAAACATGGACAACTTTCAGTGAAATAGAACAAAACATTTAAAGGAACAGTAAATCCCAAAATAGAACATTGAAGTCACTCCAAACTTGGATAACTTTCTTTCATCTGTGGAACACAAAGGCATTTGTAAATCAATTTAATGAAAGTGAACAAGACACTTTAAGGTGGTTCATTTGACTCAACAACGATCCAAATCTTCTTTAGCTTTCTTGCGGCCATCTTCTTCTCTTGGCACAAACAGGAAATAAACAGCCCTGGTCATGTGACTATTTACAGTATATTTCATTATTTCATGACATAGAGACCCTTTATTATTTCAATATCTGCAGGAAATGCATTGATAGATAATCAGTAACAATTCAGTTTTTTTTCAGTAACATTTTTTTTCCAAAATCCCAGTCTGTAGCAGGCATTAACTTACACCATGTCCTAACTACACGCGACGCGCGATAAAAGGTAGCTAACGTTATCTTTTAACGTTACACGTTAATCAGAGTTGTTGTCCTAACCAGACGCAACGGCGACACATGAAGTTTCTAATTTAGAAACGGTTCCTATTTCTGCGACGTCGCGGCTGACAGAATGAAGATATTACACTGGTTATGAGTACACATCATTTATTTTTAGTTAAAAATAAGTCACTGTGCCACAACAAGTGATAGGCCTAACGGATAATTTACCTCAGGTTTTGAAAGCATATAATATAGCGTTCAAAATGAATTCCATGTAAACATACAACTGTACTTCATAACAAAATTAGTCACTGAGTATATTTTGTCAATGTTTTGATTTTTAATAATGTTATTTCTTGATTTAATTATGTCCTTCCTTACCGTCTATAAATGCGAGTGCGGGGCGGGCCAGCAGTGCGCTTTCACGAGAGACTCCGCCCACACGATGTCCTGAATGGCTGTGATTTTTGATTGACGAGTGCCGTCTCACGGTTGCGTCTCTGGTCGCGTCTAGTGTGGACAGACACTCTTGCTGTCGCTGGAATTTTATCGCGACGCGTGTAGTTAGGACACGGTGTTACACAAATCCTAGATAGATCTCTTCAAAAATATCTAGACAACCAATTTGCTAGACATAGCATAGCATCAGATCAGAGAGAGGTACAACTCATTTTCTCATTTTGGTTTCTCATGTCTTTACAAGAAGAGACCATTTTAAAATGTCAATCTTTATAAATGGTAGCTTTTTACTTCTCTTAAGGTGTTCATTGTTGTTCAAGCCTTTTATAAAGCAAAATCTCTGTCTCTCGTGTCCTCAGAGACCACTTTCCCCTCGACACTTTCTCTGACGAGCGTAAATGCTTGGCTGAGTATATTTTTGACACTTTTAGTGTGCTAGCAAAGCTTACAACTTCAAGGTACCACAATGACCAGTAAGCTTTGCAGGAAAAGTTTAAAATGTCTGGCTAGGCTTGAGCTTTCTCATACATAATCAAAGTCATAATTCAAAGTCTTCCTCAGTCTTTGCTCTTCCTTTGTGTTTGATCAAAAAGGAAAAGTGGCCGGGTACAACTCTATGAATCCGGCTGTTAAAAATGGTAATAAAGCAGATTTACAATATTAATTAATCTTATGTGATACCGCTGAAGAGCCAACAGAGATGTGATGAAAGGGGATTTTTATATGTGTAATAGAACTCGGGAACAGTGATGAATCACCACTGACTCCAGCTTTAAGATTCCTTTTCACAGGGAGCTCATCTCAAGGGCGCAATAATTCACTCTGATCAGACCGAACGGAGAGCCAATCAGATCTCATCGTTCGAAGCAAAATGGCTAACTATTGTCTCCAAAATGCAGCGACACTGCATCAGGACAACTTTAATCAAGGCTTGACAAAAGACAACCCGAAAAAAAATCAGAAAACTCTATTCAGGCATCATATTCTCTGATCGTCAACGCGTAAGCCTTGATTTTAGCTTTAAGCGGCTGCTGATTGCATGGCTGAACGGCTTATTGCTTTTCATCATATTTTACACCCTCCCCAACCCAACATGCACAAAAACAGCAAACCCACCCTCCCGTGGCATCTGCACTTGACCCACTGAAATGCAAAGACAGCAGTGTCGAACTGATGGCCGCTACTGCTTGATCAACAGTCGGTGCAGACCGAGCAGATTAAGACAGACGTGCTGAACGCAAAACTTGTACTCTCTACAGGAAGACCAATTGGTTTCACAGTCCAGCGCCCTGAACAATTACTGTTTCAAAACAAGGTGAAGGTCAGCCAAGCACGAGTAGATACCTCGATACCAGAGGAATTGAACACAATGTGCAACGGACAGACAGTCAACCCCATTCCTACAGTGAAAACGCTTTATATTTTCTAAATATCAAGCGGAGTGGTGACGGCGCAGTGGATGAGACACATGCCTTCGGTGTGAGAGACCTGGGTTCGAATCCAATGTGTAAGACACCAATGCGAATCTTTTTCCGAGTCATGAACAAATCTTTTTCCGAGTCATTTGGTTCATTCAACGAACGAAACGAACTAATTGACTCGGAAAAAGATTCATTCATTTTGATGAACGAGTTCGAACAGGAGAGTCAGGAATGTACATCGCAGTACAGAGCAAGGCTACCGTTTGAGCTTATAAAACTTAAACTTTGTTATTTTTTTAAATGAGCGATCGTTTCGCTTGATAAGACCCTTATTCATCGTCTGGAATCGTTTAAAGCCCTTTGAACAGTTTGCCGTTTGCACTGAAAATGTCTTTTGGACCTTGAACCGTTTGGTTACCAGTGAAGTCCATATGGAGAAAAATGCTGGAATGTTTTCATCAAAAACCTTAATTTCTTTTCGACTGAAGAAAGAAAGACATGGACATCTTGGATGACATGGGGGTGAGTAAATTATCAGCAAAAGTTTTTTCAAAAGTGAACTACTCCTTTAACCCCTAGTTGCTCCAGAGGTGTGCGACCTCTGACATTTATAGCAATTGTACGTCGCTTTGGATAAAAGCGTCAGCTAAATGAATAAACGTAAATGTCTAAAACACTGGGAGCTGTTAATATAACTAGATTTTACATTTTACAAATGACATGTGATTACCTAACAAGTGACTAAAAACATTGCACTGGGAACTCATTTTAAGCCCATTCTCGCTTGTGTACCAAAAAGTTTTCTCTTTCAACAAACACAACATCAAGAGCAAAACTTACATGCAATTTCAGGCCGAACATGTCAGATGCAAAGTCTATTGAAATTGTTTTAACCTTGAAGGCGATGGGGGCATCTTGTTGAGTGGAGATGAGAAATCCCAGCAGACATTATTATTGTAAAGACTATGGAGAATGCTGAAGGTCACCTCTCTCTGTCTCGCTCGCTCTCTCGCTCGGATCAGCCTTCTCCAAAAGAGAGCCACAACCTCTTTCCATAACGGCCCACATTAATCCTCCACAGCTCAGAATTTAGATAAGAGAATTAACCCCTCCTTCAGTTCTCTGATGCTTTTCTCTGTTTGCCCCATTTCATTTTGTTTCATTTCATACCGAGGCGTTTCTTTAAGTACGGGGGCTATTGGCTCTGTTAGAAAATACATTCGTAGGCTACTTTACACACTTGGACTAGTTAATTCGATTTGTCTTCCAACAGCAAATATACATGGATTACAGACGGATTCAGGTATTTGTCATTTCTGAAAGCCATAAACACGAACTTGACGAAATTAGAGCTTCATTGAAATTAAGGTTTTTTTTTTTACCTTTTTTATTTTGTTCACATATCACGTTTCATATTTTACATACACTCACGTCTGAAAACCAAAAACACTAACTTTAAACAAATAATTAGAGGCAAAATTGAGTTTTAATTAAGAATTTTAATTTGTGTAAAAATAGACCAAAATCATTTTCTTAATAAATATAAAACTGTTAGTGTTTATTCGACTATATAAATAATTACATCAAAAATTACATGAAACTATTTTATCATTTAAAGGTAATAATAATTACTCTCATTCAGCATATAATAAGCATTTTGGAAAATGAAGACATTTTAAACATCTTCCAAGAGAGAGTGACCTTCATATGACAACGTTAATTTAATTATTTTTTTTAATTAATTTGAATAAAAACCAACCCCTGGGACATAAATGTGCCCGTAATTGAAGAAACACAAACAAAACGACACACACACATCCACGAAAACAGCTGGCCAGGAACATCCATGGCATCGTTCTGTCCATGTTTAACAGCCAGAGGATGAATGGGTATGGATGGAGATAAGCCACAGAAAACAGGATGGAAGCAAAAGAGTCAGCGGGTTTGATGTGCCAAACGCTTGACAGCCATTCCATCACAGGTTGTTAAGTTAATTGATATGACAGGAGATTTTTCTGCCTGTTTAGTCCAGACACGACAGAGCGAATCAAACGATAAGGATCTACATGCACTTGGGCACAGAGCAGAGCAGAGACCGGGTCACCAAACTCTAGACTTCTCTATACTCTCCCAGAGGAAGTATAGATTCAGGTCTGCAGTGTCACTTTCAGCCTGAAGATGTAGGTACAACTGCAAGGGAACATGAAGCTCAAAGCTAGCGCAGTTCAAAACACCACCTCTTCTCCAAACACAACACCACAGGACAGCTGACAGGAAGATGACATTCGTTTCTTTCTAGAGTTTGCTGCAAAAGATAAGGGTTAGACAAAACCTTTTACTGCAAACTCTCGAGTGAATGAATCTAGTCAATGAATCTAGATGCGAGTGAATGAATCTAGTCAAGAACATGTTTAGGTTATATTTCAAACCAAATTCAAAAGATACAATACTTTATATTTTGTATAAAGAAAACATAT